AGAAAATGTAGTGCTACACATGTTTCTCTGCTCTTCTTTTGTAGTAGAAATCACCTTTTTCTTTCTAGAGGGGATGCTTTGAGTTTTGATATTCTGTTCCCAGTCAGAACTAATTTACCCACTCAAAAATGAAAGTAGAACCAAACAAAGTGCCTCTTTCCTTCCATACTGAATTCAATTGAAAAAGATTTATAAGCCTGATCAGCGTTTGAAGAATAACAATTGCTTTAATCTTTGCTGGAAAGCACGGCTGGCTGATTTGTTTTGTCTCAGAGAGACACGGCTGGCTAACAAGTATTATAGAAGACATACAAATAATGTTATGAAACACAGAAGAGTCTTGGTTTTAAAATGCATATTGCCTTAAAACTGTTTGGGATTGTCAGTGGTAGGGTCCCAAACAGTGCATGCTGCTGTCTGAAAACAGCTTGCTTTCAATGGGAACAACACAAAGGAGCAAAAGCTGTTGAAAATCAGCATAAGGACTCTTGAGACTGACATAAGCAGAGCAACAACCACACAAAAAACCCTCAATACCCTCAATGCCACCCCTGTCTAGCTGGTCTGTTTGTTTCTTATGCATTTATGTCCTTAATATGGCCATACTATTTCACATGCCTCAGTGCAACAATGATTGCTCTCATCATTAGCTTTGAGCAAGGAGGGAAAAAGTACTTCTAATTACTAATTTTTTCTTTCCCTTCTCCTCCAGATTTGTTCAGCACAAAACAAAACAAAACAAAAGGTCCCAGTTGTCAACTCCAATTAAATATTGTGAAACTCATGGTGCCTAGAACATTTAAAAGGTGAATTTCATATTCACATATCAAAACTCTAACAAATGTGGTGGTAGTTGCCCCTCTCACTACAAGTCATACCAGTGCTGAAGTCCCGGTGTAGATGCAAAAATAATTTTTTCTGCCTACAACAGCTCTGTAACTGCGTCTCTAAAGCCAGGATAAGCTTATCAGTACCTTGAGGCACCCTATCTTTATTCTGAAGACAATGTGAAGCTCTGTTCTTGTGCAGTGCTTGAAATAAGCAGGAGCTGTGGGGTCAGTCAGCCAGGGCAGGAGGCACGGTGCTGCACACCAGGCTGGCTGTCGCATGCTAACCATGTCTGCGGGGCACAGCACCGGCCTCGCTCCGCTCGCTGCAGAGGCCTCTGCAGCTCAAGTGATAAGGGCATGTGAGTCTCAAGAAAAGCAGAAATCGCTGTGAGGTTGTGAATGGCTGTGGCACAAAGCACAATACTGAATGCAGGATCCCAAAGGAATTTAGTTGAAAGGAAAATAAATCTCAGTAACAGGCTCAGGTTTAGAAAAGGAAGGGCGTTTTGTGTGATTTCTTTTCAGGAGAGATACTTGGATATTAAGAGGATGGGTGACTCAGAAATGCCACAGATGTTTACTATTCTACGCTTTTATAAAGCCTCTCCTATAAAATATACCAAACGACTTCATAAGAATTATTGGATTGAATGTTTCAACATCCTTTGGGTCAGATGACAGCAACATAATATTCACATTAAAGATAACATACAACACGTTCCCACAGTCATAAAGCAAAACTAGAAACAGTAAGCAGTCTAAGCTTTTCTTTGCTGCACAGTTAATCTGGTTAGTTGGCACATGCTTAACATATGCCAAGTAGCAGCATTCACATCAAAGCCTAAGCCCGTTTCTACATCCCTCTCTGCTTCTCTTTTTACACACAAAGCCTTATCCCACAGCTCTTCATATGGAGATTATATTCTCTTCAGCCAGTGTAGGATCTTCCCTTGTCAGTGATGCCTGGGACCTACCTGTCCTTTATAAGATGGGAAGTGCTAGAGAACTAGCAGCAACCTAACAATCCCTGCCACCAATATATTGCAAATGTGTTTTGGCATAAACCCATTCTACCAAAATCTGGAAAAATCTATCATGACCCTGCCTGACTTTGGATCAGAAGTTTTATCTGCATGGGTGGTGTAACTGCTGGGAAGGGGTACATGGCCAATAAGTGAGGGCGCTTTCTCTCTGTTGCTGTAATTCTTTTGGCTTCCAAAATGTGGGGGGAAAAATTGTTTGGGAGCTGTATGCAGAACATCTCCTATATTAAAATTAAAAACCCCCTCCCCTCAAGAAAACCAAGCTACCTTCCCAAAAACTAAGCTCTTGCAAAAACCTTGCATTGGCTTCTTTCAATTAGACAAATATGAAAACAAATGAAAGCAGCTTCACTCAGATTTTCTACTCAATAGTTTCCAAACAAAATCAGCTGTGTGGCATATGCCACCAAAACAATAGCTACCAGATTAGCAGATGGTATGTTGTGAATTAATTGTTGACACAAACCCCAGACATACCACTCAATCCTCTCCTGACACCTAAACTTATTTCCCTATTATTTTTCTCACCTCATTATATTTGCTCACAACAAGAAAAAAAAATTAGATACTCCATCTGGATTTAGACATGAAAAGTTAACCTGCAATTTATTATTACTCTGCTGTCTTTCAAAAAAAAAAAAAAAAAGGCAGTTTGATTACTGCAGAATAAAAACATGGAACAAGAAGCTCTGTAAGCCTGGATACCTCTAGATACCATAGAATCATAGACTTATTAAAGTTGGAAATTACTTCTAAGATTATCAAGTCCCACTGTACACCCAGGGTCACTGTTTCCACCACTAAACCACATCCACAAATGCCACATCCACACACCTTTTGAGCCATTCCCAGCCAGCTTGTTCCAGTGCCAGACTGCCCTTTCAGTAGGGATATTTTTCCCAATCCAAACCTCCCCAGTGAAACCTGAGACCATTTCTTCTTGTCTTGTCAGTTGTTACTTAGGAGAAGTGATCAGCCCTCACCTCACTACCACCTCCCTTCAGGTAGTTGTACAGGACGATAAGGTCCCCCCTGAGCCACCTCTTCTCCAGGCTGAAAAACCCCAGCTCCCTCGGTGTCTCCTCATGGGACTTGTGCTCCAGACCCTTCAGCAGCTCTGTTGCCCTTCTCTGGACACGCTCCAGCACCTCAATGTCCTTCTTGTAGTGAGGGGACCCCAGAACTGGACACAGCACTCGAGGTGTGGCCTCACCAGTGCCAAGCACAGTGCAACAATCCCTGTCCTGGTCCTGCCGGCCACACTATTGCTGATGCAGGCCAGGATGCCACTGGCTTTCTTGGCCAATTGGGCACACTGCCAGCTTGTGCTCAGCCACTGTTGGCCAAGACTTGTTTGTTCCCTCCTGCCTCCCTGGCTGCAATGAGCAGACTCTCCACCAGAGCCCTCTCACTCACCCTCCAGGTAGAGAGAAGTGTGAGGCAGGGCTGCTGAGTCCAGAGCTACATGTGCTAATCCAGCAGCTCACTGCTGCTAAAACTGCAATACTGTCCATCACATCCCAGTTCTGCCTGCCACTTACCTAAGGGAGCACTGATCTGTGTCCCTCCCTACCCTACAGGTATTGTTTTTTCCAAAACTTCAGTTTTCTCCCCTACTTTATATTGTGTGAAACTGCCGGGTGGCATTGAAGTCAGTGAAGGTAGGAAGGGAGGCACAAGCAGTCAGAGGCAACCACATGGGCTTTGTTTCCTCTGGACCTCGGGCAATTTTATTAATTTTACTGTTTACAAATAAAAGGAAACAAAACATCACCACACAGCAGCATTTACATATCCAGGAGTTTCCAGACACCCAAATTCTTGGGTTTGGATCTACACAACAGAAGTTGGACACTTAAATTGCAGCATATTTTCCTGCTCAGCTGACTGTACTCCCAGAGACTGTCTCCACATGAATCACCCCTTCCTCATTCCAGCACTTGGGACCAAGCAGACAGTTCTGGGCTCCTCAGTGCAACAGAGACATGGAGTGAGTCCAATGGAAGGAAACAGAGATGACTAAGGGACTTCAGCATCCCTCTTACAAGGAAAGGCAGAGAGAGCAGGGCCCGTTCAGCCTTGAAACGAGATAATTAAAAAGGGGGCTCCACAATGTCTGTCAGTAGCTGAGGGGAGGCTGCGGAGAGGATGAAGCCAGGACTGGCTGTGACCATAGCCAGGTGCGAGGAGCAGCTCAGCCGAGAAGGGCCCATCTGATCCAGCCAGCTCCTGCCCCCATCTCCCGTTTATTAGTTTGGAATGCTGCCTTGTCTTCTGCGCCCTTCACTTTAAAAAGCACATTGAGGTGCTGGAGTGTGGCCGTCAAACGGCAAGAAGGCTCTTGAAAGGTCTAGAAAACATGTCTTATGAGGAACAGCTGAGAGAGCCGGGGTTGTTTATTCCCAAGAAGAGGAGGCTGAGGGGGCTTTTATCCCTCTCCACAACTCCCTGGAAGGTTTTTGGGGCTGGTCTCTTCTGCCGTGCCCGCAGTGACTGGACTAAAGAGAATGGCCTTGAACTGAGAGGGGACGTTTAGATTAGACATTAGAAATATGTTTTTCACTGTTAGGGTGGTCAGGCCTTGAAGTGGAGTCACCCTCGCTGCAGGTGTTCCAGAGGCATCTGGATCTAGCGCTGGGTGATTTAGTGCTTATGGATTACAGTGGTAGTGTCGGGTGGACGTTGTAGCAGATGACCTAAAAGCTCTCCTCCAGCCTTGATGGCTGGGGCAAACAGCTGCACAGCCCCACGAAGGAGAACGCGCTGCGCCCGCCGCCACAGCGATGAGGGAAGAGCAGGGGCGGGACCCGTTGCCCTCCCCGGCCGCGCCGCCGGCCTCCGCCCGGGAGGGGGCGCCAGCGCGCAGGCGCAGCCCCGCCCCGCGGGGAGGAGCCGCTGGCTGCGAGCGGTGAGTAGCGGGGGGGGGCGGGGGGTGCGCGCGGCGTTAGTGCCCCCCCCCTCCCCGCCCTCCGTGAGGGGCTCCCGCCCGGGGTCCCGGGAGCTCCTGCTGGGCTCTTCCAAACTGCGGCCAAACTGCCCCCTTCGTCCCGGTGCCGCCGCCAGGAGCCCCTCGCCGCCCGGAATGGGGTTGTGCGACTGCCCTTGGCGCTGCCCTTCCCTTCGCGGGGCGTTAGTGCCCCCCCCTCCCCGCCCTCCGTGAGGGGCTCCCGCCCGGGTCCTACCGGGGGTCCCGGGAGCTCCTGCTGGGCTCTTCCAAACTGCGGCCAAACTGCCCCCTTCGTCCCGGTGCCGCCGCCAGGAGCCCCTCGCCGCCCGGAATGGGGTTGTGCGACTGCCCTTGGCGCTGCCCTTCCCTTCGCGGGGGATCCCCAGCGCCGTGTCCGCTCTGCCCCTCAGTAATCAGGGGTAGCCGAGGGCGTGTTTTTCCGCCTTTACTCAGGTGCTTATAGAGTGGTTTGGTTTGGGTTGGAAAAAAAAACATCTTTGGGTTAGAAACGTAATCAGGGGTAGCCGAGGGCGTGTTTTTCCGCCTTTACTCAGGTGCTGATAGAGTGGTTTGGGTTGGAAAAAAAAAACATCTTTGGGTTAGAAATCATCTCGTTCCAGCACCGCTGCCAGGGCCGTGGACACCTTCCACAAGCCCAGGGTGCTCCTGAGCCCCGTCCCGCCTGGCCCTGAAGGCTTGCAGCGATGGGGCATCCACAGCTTCTCTGGGCAACCTGTTCCAGTGCCTCACCACCCCCAGAATAAAGAGTTTCTTGCATATGCTAAGTAGCTTAAATTTCCCCTCTTTCATTTTGAACCCAGTGCATTTGCCCTGTGAGTGCAGAAGTGAGACCTGAGTGCCCGGCCTGCTGGGGTGGGTGCCTGAAGTGACTGCACTACAGTGGTGCTTGGGCTGGCCTGTCATGTAGAAGGTTTTTTGTAGAAGAGTTTTTCCTAGGATTGTCTTTTCCTAGGATTGTCTTCAGCTAGTGGCCCGAAGATTGATGCTATTTGGTCCACAGGCTGGCCTGTCATGTAGAAGGTTTTTTGTAGAAGAGTTTTTCCTAGGATTGTCTTCAGCTAATGGCCTGAAGACTGATGCTATTTGGTAGCTAAAGCATTAGCCAAAGACAAGTGAAAAACCCTAAGCCCATTATCAGGAAAATTAGATTTGGTGTATGAAGATGTGAATATCCTAAGGTTAATTTTAGAAACATTTTAGAAATTAACAAGATTGGAAATCAGTGTGCATAAGCTGGGACTGTTAGGTGACAACGGAGGTGATCAGTAATGTTTACACCAGTAATAATTAAAATTGATGCTGTAAGACAAACTGAGTGTGAATTTGCATTCAGTGGATGCAGCTTTTCCAGGTTTTTTACAGAAATTACACCTGTTTTTCATTTTACTTCTAGGAAGTATTCAACATTAAGCAACATGTCTTCCACCAAACCTCCAAATGAAAATGAAACACCCAAAGAGAGAAAACCAGGACTGAGGAGTGTTCAGACAACTATGCTTTTCCGAGCTGTGAACCCAGAGCTTTTCATTAAACCTGTAAGAGAGGCCTTCTGGGAGAAACTAAATATGCTTGATGAGATGCAGTTGCTTTAAAGTGATCATTGCAATTCTCTGGGCATTATATAACCATCTCTTGTTATGCAAACCACTCAGAAATGTAACTAAAAATATTTTTAATTTTTTCCACTCTTGATTGTGGAGAGCGCAGAACATTACATTGCTTATTGCAGCTTTTATTTCATTGCTGTATTGTCTGATTCTTTTGTACCTAGCCAAGTTTCTTTCAGAAAGACCTGTTTAGAGGTATATTACTCATGTAATTTGACAGGTTAAATAATGTTATTATTGAGTAACAAAAACAACAGGAGTTGTTTTTAATATTTAAAAGGGAACAAGACATAGAAGGCAAACTTTCTTGGTATGAAGTGAATTGAGTTTTGGTAGCTTTCCAATATTTTGGATTTTCCTTTTTCTTGCTTTTATAATTAAGTTGATGATACTCAGGTTTTATTTGCATTTGCAGAACCCAGAAATGAGTGAAATTTTGTGCCTATAATAAGTATAGATTTAATAAAAGTAGATTTTGTGATAAGAATACAAAGTGTGGTTTAGAGGATTGTCATCAAGCAGGACCAGAGTGCATTGTCCCAGATGAAGTCTGTTGAAAGTTTGTGGTGGAGACCTTCAGTAATTGGTTTTGTCTGGTTCATCCATAATCAATCAGCATTTCCATCTAGCAAAATAGAGAGTACTGGGGATTGTGCTGTTCTGTCTCCAGGAAGAATCTTCTTTTTCAGAGGGAATTCCTTTTGCTGTCAGAAAATTCAGTCTGCAAGGAAGCAGTGATGATTTTTTGCAGATGTCACAAAAGTTTACTGTTCAGTCTCTAAGCTGAGATAGACAAATGTAATGTTTGAGCTTAATGAAAAATGTTTTGACTAAAATCATTCACTATGTTTTTTTCTTGTCAGAACAAACCTGTGATGGCGTTTGGACTGATAGCAATTAGTCTGTGTGTGGCCTACCTTGGTTATTTGCATGCAACAGCAGAGAATAAGAAGGACCTCTACGAAGCAATCGACAGTGAGGGGTCCAGATATATGAGGAGGAAAACTTCCAAGTGGGACTGAGAATGTAAGAAAGGAAATCAGTAAATCACTCACAGAACTTTTCCAGGCAACTACTGTTTTTTTGTCTTTCCCTTGAAATAATGGATAAATGTCTCGCTTGCTATTTAATCCAATTCAAGTTCCTTTATAAAATGCTGTGCCTGTACAAATAAACTGCAGTAAAGATATATCTGAAAATAAAAGTGATTTTTAAGAATTGCCCTCTACAATCTCCACAGAGATCTTCGTCACAAGACAATAAAATGCTGTGCCTGTACAAATAAACTGCAGTAAAGATATATCTGAAAATAAAAGTGATTTTAAGAATTGCCTTCTATGATCTCCACAGAGATCTTTGTCAGAAGATGTGAAATCACTTTGGACCTCCAATCAGTACTGGTAAATGCCTTAGAAACTGACATGACAGTTCAGTTTTCTCTTTGCTTTGATTAAATGAAGTCAGGGGTTTTATCTTTTTTTTAAACAGAATGAATAATGTATTTTCTGTGAAAAGTGGATATCTTGATCTATTGATAACAGTGGTGCAAGTAAACTAATTTTAAGGCAAGGAAGATCTGATAAAGCATTTGGTGAAGGGTTTTATTTCATAAAGGAAACTGTAAAATACTGGCTAAAATAACCCTTGGATGCTTAATATACTCTTCCTTACAAATGAAAAAAGGTAAATCAGTAGCCAAATAGCGAAAAAGTGAAACAATTGCTTCTGTTAAGAGAAAGGTAGGAAGAACTCAGCCATTATCTTTTCTGTCTGGCACCAGATGACAGATCAGTGAACATGCTGGCTTCAGCCTGCCAGTTGATAGCTTTAGCTCCAGCTTGGCCAGAGTTTCTGTAACATTCTTGACTAGTCAGCAGGACTGGTTTTATTTCAACTGCATTCAAAATTTGAATTTCTCTTTATTGCGAAGTACATTATGTGACGTTAATTTATTGCAGGTTACCGAACTCAAAATAAGGAATGGAAAGTCTGAAATCCCCAGGTACTTCTGTGACTGTGGATGGGCATAGTGCTGTTTCCCTGGCACACGTGGTGGTCCCTTGTGAGCCTTTGAGCAAACAGTACCAGCAGTGTCCTCCTGTTCCAGCACCAAGTCCTTCTCCCGAGTACATTATGTGACGTTAATTTATTGCAGGTTACCGAACTCAAAATAAGGAATGGAAAGTCTGAAATCCCCAGGTACTTCTGTGAGTGTGGATGGGCATTGTGGTGTTTCCCTGGCACACGTGGTGGTCCCTTGTGAGCCTTTGAGCAAACAGTACCGGCAGTGTCCTCCTGTTCCAGCACTGAGTCCTCCCATGAGCTTCCCAGCTGCTTCTGGGTGCCTGATGTTTCCTAGACAGTGTTCCATCAACCAAACTCCAGAACATGTGGTGGGAGGATACATACCAGGCTGTGACCTGTTTCTGCTATGGACCCTTACTGATGTTACCTTGCAGTTTGCCATTCAGTGTCTTGTATTTGCAGACCCAACAAGGACTCCCAGGGAGCTGAGAGACCTCTTTGTCAGCCCTCTTCTGACCAAGGTGACTTCTGTCAGGCCAGAGAAGGAACATGCAGGAACTCCTGCTTTACCATTCTGGGAGTTGCTTTGGGTTTTATCAAAAGATTTTGGTACTGAAGATAAAAAAGGTGACTGGCTGCCTTGAAGGACAGCAGTTGCACCATGGGATTTCTCTGTATCTCCCTCTAAGTCCTTCACTTTGAATCTGTGAGTTTACTCCTGTTCTTGTTTTGTAGTTAACTGTATCTTAAATTCAGCAGGGCTTTGGTTAAACTGCCTCCTTCCTGAGAAGGGAAGTGAGCTCCACCTATAATAAAGCTTTTTTTTTTAAAAAAAAGGGTGGTTTTGCAGCCTTTAAAAGCAGATTTCCCTCTGTGAGCCTGCTGCCCTACAACAGCAAGGTTCCTGGGCAAATCTAAGTTTGCAGGTGAGGAAACTACTTGCCTTTTGATTGGTGAAGGAATTTCTGGGTGAAATGATCAAATATTCAGAACTCTCACATGCTGTGCATATCCTGCAGAATATATTTTGTTTGATGTTTGTGAAGGACCTTTAGAATAAACCTGTTCTTTTAAAAATGGTCACACAGGATTTTAGCTCTTTTCAGTTCATTAAAATGCACAGGTCTCGTATGTTTGCATGAATTTAACTAAATTATTCCCAAATAAGTGGTACAAGTATTTTCACCTGTTTTTCTATAGGCTTTTAGAATACATGTTTTGATCCTTTGCAGATGTCTGCAGATGAATTGAAAGCCCATTCTCTTACTTTCACATGTTTGAGAATAATGCAAGATTTGTGTTCTCAAGATTTTCAGTTCTGTTTTGTGAAGTGAATATGGATCTGGCAGTTACTGGGGAAAAGAAAGCAGCACTGGAGGCATAAGAGATAACAGACTGACCTGGACAGGATGTAGGCGTGTACATGCCAGTGACACTTCTTACAAAAGCTGTCTGAGATAGGGCCTCTTCAATGTTGGCTGGATTCAAGTCCCATTGACCAGGTTACTTTAGAATAGTGAGGTTGAAGGAAGAATGGATATTTAAATTTGTCCTATTTTTTCTTTGGCAGCTGTTCTACAGATAACTCTTAATGATACACAATTTATATATAAAAAAGAGATAAAGCAGTGCAAATACAGAGAGGTATGTGGTGGGTTAATGAATGTTGCAGTAGCAACACAGGCATTTGCTGGTTTAAGTTCCTGATTTTTATCATAAGAACAATGTGTGTATAGGGATTAAAGGGAAAAAAAACAAACACCCAAACAAAACTGCTTTGATACCAACATTTGTTTGCTCAGCTCTGAAAGCGTGACACCCGTTATGCATCTGGAGGACAAACACACAGCACCAGTATAGTTTCTTTTGTTCTGTGTTTTTCAATTTCAGTCTTCAGTATAGTGATAATTATCTATAAGGGATAATAACTGGCTTGACAGAAACTATGAGTCAAAATTATTTCCTGGGCAGAGGCTCTTTGAGATTTTTGCCAGTTCCTTACTGTCTGTGCTGACTTTCACATCTTTTACCAAGAACAAAATGCTATGATTAAAATATCCAAAACTGTAGCTGTTGTACTGTTCCTAAGATCTCCTTAGACTATGTGGTGTGAATGGGACTTGTTGGCATTCAACAACAAAGAGCAATTGAACAATTAAAGGTCCAAAGCCTGCTGTGATGCTGCTTAACTATTACCAGGGAAAGGTAGTTCCTTGTGGGTGAAACCAGCCCTTCCCCAGTAACAGCTGCTACATAGGAAGCTGCATTCAGGCTGGAAAGGGTCACTTCATGAAACTCTCCCTTATCATCTGTCTCCTGGATGTTACTGAATTGTCAGCGTGTTTGAATCCTAATTGGAAAGCAAATGTTTCAGCTGACTTGGTAAACAATTTTCAATGCTTTTTCTCCTTTTACCAGCTTGCGTGTTTTCTGTAGCAACACTTGGAGTTTTGCCTGCAAATGAGACCTGTCAGGAGTAGAGTTCTGACACTCTAGTAACTATTACAGAATGACACTGGAACACCACAATGATTAGAAGTTCTGATCTGGATTCCTTTATTGTGCTGTGTGTTCACAAAGGGTACCACCACACCTCCCAGTGCTGCTTTTGATCAGATTCAGGAGTATTCCAGAACACCCAGTATTAAACTCATTGTAAGATACTGGGAAAGTTCATTTCTGAAATTCCTTTCTTTTGTTGCAATCTGAGATTCAGGAAAACTCCAAATCCTCTTGAGTCTGTGTGCTCTGGCCAGTCATGAATGCATTTACATCTTAGAAAGAACTGCTGCATATTAGTAACTCCAGTATATTCAGGGGAGAACAAGATCAGCTGTTCTGTGGTGCATGAAGCATTCTGAGCTGGGCATAATGAAGCGTGAAAGGCAAAGGAGCTGCAGGACCATTAGCAAATGTTTTCTGAAGCTCAAGTACTTAGCTAAGAACTATGTTTGATTTAACATTTGTGCAGATCATCCCATCATCCTTCAACAGGACACAGCTGGGATGTTTAATCCTGAATCCCACCCTTTTACAATTGATTCTGGCTCCTGACCTTAGACTGAAGCTCTGTACAGTCCCTTGAGGTTTGATTTTTTCATGGCATACCACAATGATAACCTCAGTGATGATGGGCTCATGGTAGCATTGATATGTTTGAGGATCTAGGAAGAATCTGAAGTATATGCTGTGCCTGATTGTCTTAGAAGTTTCTGATCAGCAGTGTAGTTTTGTAGAAATCACGTTGTGCCTGGTTTTTTAATGTGTGTTATGAAGATGAATGTTTGGTTTCTATTTTAAACAATATCAAGAGTTTATCAATGTCCTGAGAGCCCTGGCAGCAGGGCTTCAGCCTTACATTGACATGCACAGTGTGAAACACATCCAGAAGGCCAGAGGCCTTCTCTTTTTCAATTATTTTCTCTTCCCTACTTGATGAAATGGACAGGCGAAGAGCTGTGTCATCAAGGCACAACATGCTTTCATTACTGTGGTTAGATAGAAGGCAGGAGAATAGAGACAGTGGTGAAGGTAATCTGGCCCCTAAGGAGTTACAGCTGTGCCTAATTACCAAGCATTAAGAACAAACCTGCCCTTAATAGGCCACAGCTGGATCCAATTAAGAGGGGTACTATAAAAGAGCAGGTTGGCTGGTTGAGAGGGGAGATGGAGTTTGTTGCCTGTGCTGAGAGGAAGGAGTCAGTGCTGTGAGGAGCTGCGCCTGAGGAAACCACCGAGAAGGTAGGGAACCTTGGCGGTAGGACAACAACACATTACTGTGGAAATAGCCAGCATGACAGAACTGAGTGCTTGACAACCAAGATGGTAATTCTGAATAATAATTTTTTTTTTTTAAAGTTTAGTTTGGATTTTTTGGGGTTTTTTTTTAATGCTTGCCATAACCAGGACTTTTATTCACCTGAGATTTGAACTCCAGTGCCAGAAGAAGTACTTTGCCTGAAAAATGACTGGCTTTGTCCTTGATGAGATGTGAGCTTGAGCTGCCTGGATTTTTAATTTACTTTCAGAACATGTCACTACTTTTTTATTGCATGGAGTTTATGGACTTCATTGTAAGTTCATTCTCAGGCTTTGTTTCATGATTAGGTACATTTCCTAAGGGCAATAAAGTACAGGCTTAACTTTAAATCTGTCTTGAAGGTTTGTGTCCATCAAAGCTAGTAGAGTGTTTAACAGATCGGCAGATTGAACCTGGACAGTAAGTGAGGTGGAGGAGAAGGAAAACTGCCAGGCTTAACTTTAAATCTGTCTTGAAGGTTTGTGTCTATCAAAGCTGGTAGAGTGTTTAACAGATTGGCAGATTGAACCTGGACGGTAAGTGAGGTGGAGGAGAAGGAAAACTGCCAAGGTACATATATTCCTAAATGAAGCATGTAGGGTTATGTTTATCTATATGCTTGACTCATGCTTTATATGGCTTTTTGGATATCTGAGAAAAGACTGAAATACACAAAGAGATCCTTCTGGATCTGAGCCTTCCTGCTTTCTGCACCACTTCCCGGAGCTTTTCACTGCCGGAGCAGCCGAGCGCTCCTCAGCCAGGCGTTACTCAGCATGTCTGACACCTGTCATCTGTAGCCTTGCAGCCTCCCACCAGATGATGAATGGCTCACAGAGAATTGCTGGAGTGTTTTGCTTTGGAATTTTATTTTATACAAGTTTCTAAATAGCTATCTGTTTATACTGCAGGCAGTCAGAGCAATGTACTTGGCATCTCAAGAGGAAAAGCAGGGAGGTTTACAGTGGTCTTAAGTTTTCAACAGAGTTCATTCCATTTTATGGAGCTGCTTTCCAAGGGAGCTCTGTCTCTTGCTGTCATAGTGTCTGTTGACAGTAGCTGGCAGAATCTTAGTTCCTTGTGTTTAACCATTCCATTACTTGGGATAAGACTGTTACATATCTTCATAGACCTGAGTGCTCAGGATTTGAACATGTACTACTTGCCCTGATAATATTGGCTCCAGGGACTAAGGGCTGGGAGAATTCCCAGGTGGAGAATTCTACAGCTGAAACAAAATAAGAGACAGATATAACTGAAGTAATTGCAAGATGTTTTATATTTGTTGAGGTTTGTTTCTTGCAGTTCATCTTAAGAGGTGTGTTAATCTTAGTGAGCTAAGTGCTAACTAACAGTGGGCTTGGACCACTGGTAGTGGAAAATTTATTCATCATCTGTCTAAGCAAACACATCAGTGCATGAATGATTGAAAAGGGGTTTTAAGTGTAGGATAGTTCAAAGTCCATCACTCTACCAAACTAAGAAGTGAAGACAAGTGAAGTCACTGCTTTCTTGTGGAACAGTTTAATTCATATAAAATACTTCAAACAGATATTTGGCACACTCTGGCACTATTTCTGACTGACACGTCTCTAAAGCCTTACCTTTCTAAAGCTCTGTGGATAACTGACATTCCATGTTTATTACCCTCTTAAATCCACACTGAAAAAATTCAAACTTCATGTTCACAGTCATCTAATTAAATGCATAAACTGCACAGAACACAGTTTGTATGTGTGTGTCTGTGTGTATTAGGCAACATGAGAAGCAATTCTGCAAGCTGCATGTTAGAAAACCAAGATAATGTTGAAGTGTTTCAACTCTCCTTGAACAAACAGTTCAGGTTCTCTTACACTGATAGATAAGTAGATTTGTTAGTTCTGTACTAGGGAGGACATAATACCATCATTCTGCAATGCCTTACTGATCACATAGAAGGAAGAAGCCACCCTGTCTTAAAGGGTTAGCCCACTTTTTATCTGGGATACAGTGGCAGGGACTGATACAAACCATGGCTGGCTACAGGGGTCAGTGTTGTCTGTGGTGGACTTTAGTCCTGGACACCTCATTCATCCAGACAAGACCAAGGGTCCTGGTGAGGGCATATCCCAGGCCTTTCTTGATCTACAGCCTTTGGAGGCATATTTGGAGACAGGCAGCAGGAGCTTCAGATGTGGCTGTGTCTGTACACATCCATGCTGCTGGCACACTCTGGGATGGATGTACTCAGCAGTGTATGCACAGCACATACAGTTCATAACAGTCTGTCAGACCCTGACATCGCTTCTCATTGCCTCTTGGGAAGGGAAAAACATTTTGTTTTACTGCTTTCAAGTGTTAAGTTGAAGGTGTGTTTGTTCCACTTAGAAACAGCATGTCCTCTTAAGTCTATGTGCTTGGTTTTGGAGAGATGAAAGGAGCCACAGCTTGGCCTAAATGAGTAGTTTGGTAATGTAGATAAATAGACAAGAGAGCAAGCAGTAGGATTGCTATGGCATCTGGAGAGCTATTCACAATGGACACTATTTGGTATTTCAAGGAAATATTTTAGCAAGTAAAGTAACTAAATGTGATTTAAGAGATTTTTTTCCCCCCTTGTAGTTGTACGCATTGCACAACATTAATTATGATTGACTGGCTTGTTTTAAAAAAAAAGGCCATTTAGTATTCTTTAGATTTCTGCATGCCAGGTGCTGTGAGCTACTGGTAACTAAAAAAAATTGTTGGCTCAGACATTCAAACAAGCGTTCCATTGCATGAAGCAGAGGCAGCATATGTTTGTTGGCTTGATTTTGTTCCTGTTTAAGAAGTATTGCAGCATAAGAAGTAACACTACCCATGTTACTTGAACTCTGATTCCGAGGGAGTAATTCTCTATGACTGTTATGTCTGAATGATGCAAATAAAGAATCTTTCAGATAACATCTGGACACTCGAGTGCCAGTGATGGCCCACATTGACAGCAGAGTGCATGAGACAAAGCCTAGAATGGGGAGCTGTAACCTGCAGTGAATAATACAGAAAGCAGGATTTCTCTATTAGTCATTCAGGAGATGTCTAATAATTGCCAGAAAATACCACAGTCTCAGGAACAGTCAGACTTTCTCTGTAAGGCAGTGTTATGGAAGACTGAAAAGTGGGTTGTCTAATTACTGTAGCTGAGCAGCTGAACTAGTAGAGAGCTGTGGAGAATGGCTGAGAAGCAGCTAATTAATAAAACAGAGACATCTTGCTCATTAATCCCTTAAAGGTCTGCAGAAGAGCTCTGTGACATCTTAAAAGGAAGATATGCAGATTGTGAAACCTTTGAATGCCTCACAGGGAGAAATGAAGTGTGAAAGGAACTAATGAGGCTGGTAGCATTTGGAGTGTGAGTGCACACTGTCTGTGCGTGTGAGGCAATTAAGGAGCCGCAGCGCCTGATGGGCACCGGAGCACAGAATGAAAGCCCCGTGTCTGTGCATGGGTGGAGGGGTAGCCACACGGAGAGAAACCCAGCCATTGGGACTGGAGTGAGAATCACTGGTGTGATTTCCTTTTCTAAGCTTAATTAACAGAAGTGCAGTGCTAGTAGTTTGCTGCTACTTAAAATACAGAGGAAGTGAGAATCACTGGTGTGATTTCCTTTTCTAAGCTTAATTAACAGAAGTGCAGTGTTATGTTTGCTGCTACTTAAAATACAGACAGAGGAAAACAAAGTGAGTGACCGATTGCAGAATGCAGCAATTGTCTGGTGGGAGATGCAGATGCTGGAACAGCTGGCTAGTAGGTACAGTACATGGGTGTTTTGGGGATATGTAGGCACAGTTCTGGCTGGGCATGTGTCAGCAGTGACCAGAGAGAAAGACAAATCCTAGAAGGAAGACTGAGCCAATAGCAATGATGGCAGCCTCCTCAGGAGTGAGAAAACCTGTGCTCCCTTCATTACAGTTTACTGGCACTAGCAGTCAGCTAGCTGTCTCAGTCTGTGAGCAAACCAAGGGTAAGGTAAACAGCTTGACTGGCAACAGCTAGTAATCTAACTCCAAGCCTCATTCTTATTGCTGGGTCTTGCCTTTCTTGTGTATACTTGGACTTTTCCACTGTGCAGTTGCAATCTGCTGTTGCTTTTCTAAAACTTGAGTGACTAGAGTCTTGCCTTTCTTGTGTATACTTGGACTTTTCCACAGCTGCAGTCTGCTGTTGCTTTTCCTAAAACTTGAGTGACTAGAGAAAAATCCTACTCATCAAGGTGTCTGAGCACCACATTTTTCCATTATTTTTCTCATAAGATTACATTCTGCCTTCCTTAAGTCAGCTTTCCAAAAGGCACAGGCATTTCCAATGTGTTTATTCAAAAACTTAATCCACAGTATAAACGGAATATTGCTGGCTATTCCACTTCATTCTGTTTTCCTTCGTGGCTTCTTGGCAACTTAGACTGCTGATGTCAGATTAATTGCAGGGCTCTGGGTGCTATATCTGCTAGCCATATTCCCTCTGTTGCCTGTGGTATCCCACAATGATTCCTGGGGTTTGGGGGTTTTGGGAATTTTTTACCTGATGTGCTACACATTACAGGAGTTAGATTTCAGAAAAAGAGTAATTTAACTTTGAGTCTAGACAAGTACTGCAAGTAATAGGTTTTGTAAAAGAGTAGCTCAACTCTGAGGCTTGAATCTGACCCACTTTGACTCTATACCTAAGGTGTTAACCATCTTTGGTATATTTCTGATAGTCCCTCTTTAGTATGAGGTTTATAATCCTGATTTATAGCTAGTTCTGATTTTCAATATGGATTTAAAAGTCAGTGATCTGGACCTTCAGCCTTAATCTTCACCTTATAATTTCATTATATTGATAAAAATCTGATGCTGAGACACTTAACTATTCTAGTGAACACCTTAAGTCCTTCTGTCACATTCCCATTAAAATACTAAGTATGTCTGTCTGACAAATATGCTTATTTTTGGGTCAGCTGACTAGATGATTCCATCTCATCTTTTCTGCTCTCCTACTTCTACCTGGACAGCATCACCATTCATATTTAGTGACCTTTCAGGTGTTGCATCTAGTTTCTCAGTTACAAAGGGACATTTCTAATACCAATAATAATCTCAACTTGAATGTATCTTTCCTATATTTTGAGGAAAGTGGTTTTCTGCATACTGTTGTATTATAAACACATTCTTCCTATACAGGAATGAAATTTAGGGACTTTTGAAAAAGGTCATTGTAATAAGAGGAGATTAATTCTTAGGTTACCTGAACTAGAATGTTTAAATGCATTAAATCTTTAGAGTTGTCATGAGAAAATTACTGAGGAGTCGACTCTCAAAATAATGTTCAGTGGGATACACTGAACACTGATACACTCTCTGATACACGTCATGAGAAAATTACTGAGGAGTCGACTCTCAAAATAATGTTCAGTGGGATACACTGATACACTCTCTGATACATTGATACATTCTCTTACATTTCCAGTCTTACTTGATATCTGATCTACGTAAGCTGTTGTTCACAGACATAGCTTTAAGTAACCTTGGAAATTGTCTCTTGAAGCTCCCAATCTCTTCCTCTAAGGCCTGCCATCTTCCTTCTGAGCACCAAATGCTTGCACTTTTTGGCTTGTGACTTTCACCGGCCGCAGGTGGGAGGAATTGAGATGCCAACACCTGTTAAGTAAGCTAGCTAGAAGGTCTCCCTAACCATAAATTCTATATTCAAAGCATAATTCTGTGGTGCTCAAGAGCTTTTTCATAAACCATTAATTCAAATAGAAGTGTTCTTGATATTGTAAGTAGTGGTTATGCGAGTAAATGCATCACTGCTGTGCTTGTGTCTGATTGCCTTTAGCCCAGATTTGGTGACAACATCACCACAGGTATGTTCCTTTGTCCACTGTGTCACCACAGTGAATCCTGGTCAGACTACCTGGCCTAAGCATGTTCTTGTTTATGAATGCGTGGCTATGGGAATGTGAGTGGATCCTGTTTAGTCTAAAATCAAAATTGCCTGTAAATGTTATACACAAGAGCCATTTGTGTTTGAGGAAGAGGAAAGTGTAGCACTGGAAAGGTGCGGCAAAGGGAGAGCATAATGCTTCTCTGAGCCTTTTCAGTAGTTTGTTAAGTAGAACCAACACAGAAGGTTTTGGGCAACTGCACTCTCAAAGCTAATGTTCTCACAATTCTCATTTAGCTACATAAAAGTAGAGCATATATTCTTTTGGGCACTGGCTCACAGTATTTCAGGCACTTTATAACTAAGGTGGTACAGTCTTTATAGTAACGCCCTAGATAATGAGTTACAAATTAAATATTTATACAGCTTACCTGGTGCTTCAGCAGAAAAAGTATGAAAAATCCATAGCAGAAACTTGTGGAGGCTCTTGCAAAGTTGTAGTAGGAGCTGCCATGGTTGAACATGCATACAGTCAAGTCAATGACTTGATCTTTAGATCAACAAGTCATCTAAAGATGGGCAGTCCTGGGAAAAAAAAAAGTATAGCCTATGGCTCTTATAAAGAAGACCTTTATGAAGAGTTGCTGTCAAACACTACATAAGGTGTCATAAAATATGTGAGGTCTGCAAACTTGCTAATCCCAAGGAGCCATGGTGCATGTGTCTCAGATATGTCAAAGCATAAACTAAAACCTGAAGCATTTCCAGCACTGGCAAGGCTGGTATCAAAATAAATGTCAGCTGGGTCAGCACTGGAGCTCCAGTGTCAGTTTTCCTCCAGGTGCTCTAGGGCTGCAAGGCACCACTAAAGAGGATCCTTTAGGATCCTTTACAGCCTCTCCCCCTTTGTACAAAAGGAGAGTCTTCTTATTAAAACTGGAAAATTATTCTGGATTTGGAGCTACATGTTGAAAACAGATTATGTTCCTTTGCTTTCTGAACCAGATATTAAAAGTACTCTCACCTTGCTAAAAATACATTAGCATTATTTTCAAGTAAGGCTACATTTTCACATAATGAATTCCATTTTAAGAGGGGAGAGCTGTGAGTCCAGTCAACACATATATTTGTAGATATTTTGTTATAAAACAACATCTTTGCTCTTGATTCAATGGAGAACTAGATAAATGCTTGCTGGCATGTTTAATGCATTACCATTAGTCATGTGGGGAATATAGATGAGAAACTGTCTGTAATATAATGCTGTAATATCTGTGTTAAACTTCTCCTAAACTCTCTTATCTGGGAGATTGACTGTTTTGTGGTATGTGTATATGTGTGTGTGCTAAAATTCTTTCCCTGCTAGAAATTAAAAGTCACATTAGTGGTCACTTTTGAATAATGACTTGGATGAGCTTAGGTTAAAGTTAGCTCCCTGAGGTGTGTTTCTTTTTGCAGGGCAAGTCCTGAATTCCACAACAGAAAAAAAATCCCAAACCTGTAAATGTGTTTGTCTTCTGACTTTATATTAGTACATTGCATTCTTGTGCTAATGAAAAAACAGAAAGCAAAGACAACAGATGCCATCACTGTGATGAGGAAGAGGAGGCACCTCAAGGAAATAAAAAATCTCCCCATTTCTTAACGTGTTTAATCAATATCAGAAGACAGCTGTGAAATGATTATTCTTGTAACCAGCTTGTGTTAGTTTCCCATTTCTATTTAGGTACTGATTAAATATGAATGGTAATTTGTCTGTGGATAGTTGAGAATGGAAACTGATTAACATTCAAGCATATATGTATATATTCAGTAATATCCATCTCTTGGTTATTAAACAGATGGTTTCTATAGAAGGCTTGCTGACCTCTCCTGGATAAAGACTCCTAAATGTTTGGAATGCTGTATTTGTTAATAAGAGAAATCTGATCTCCATCACAAGCTGGCCTGATCCTTTCATCTGTTAAAATCTACATTAGATGAAACTGATTGCTGTAGTTAAGAGCAGCAAATTCCCATTCCATCTCACAAACTGTGTGAAAGAAACTGTGTTTCAAAGCATGACTCAGATAAGGCTGTAATACTGGGTTCAGCTCAGTAAGCTGAGCTTTGTAAGTGAAAGCTTAGAATTACTAACTTTACTGCCAAGGGAAAGTTCTTATTCTTTTAATTCTGCTGCCAAAAAGGGCTCTCTTGGCAGGTACTGGAGAGTTCCTGGGTGACTTTGCTGGAAACCTTGCAAAGTTACAGAAAGCACCAGCCACCCAGTCTGCTGCAGATGGGACATGAACTGTAATTCCCTGACAGTATTGCTGGTCAATTAGAGGTGCACTCCTGTGGCTGAGGCCTTGATCTGTGTCTCTGCTGTGCAAGCTGACACATGCTCTTGCAGGCTTGCCAGTTCTGCACTGAGCTTTGCAGAGACCATCCTCTGCAGGGCTTTCACCAAGGACAATGGGGAGTTGGATTCCTTTCATAGTATGATGTGGGACCACTATGATCTTGCCAGAGGATTCCTGGGAAGCTGCCAAAAAGACAGCAAAACTTTCTTTTATTCCATTCTGAAGGAAAATATCCTGGGATTCTCTACACACACCACACTAGCAGAGGTCTTTCAGTATGTGCCCCCAATCTTTTTAGCTTTAAATCCAAGGTTAAGGTGTTAGAATGTATGTGGTTCAAAGATCCTCCTGAACAAAAAGCTTCTAATACTGTAAAAGCCTGAAAGTCTTAGTTTCATCTGTTCCTGTGCTTGGTTCTATCTAAGCAGCAATATGTTGAGTGACTTGGAGTGGGTTTTGAAAGTCTGGCAGTGTAAAAGGACATACATGGTATTGAAAGACTTCTTGAAAGAACTGAGCTCATTTGGAAGTGAATAATAAGGGTTGATGTCTATAAGCCCTGTAAGTTTCTAAAGGCCCTGCTTCTTGCATCTTTTTCCTTGTTTACTAAAATTATTTTTCCTTTAGTAAAATTACTCTTTCTTTAAAAATACTAAAACTGCATATCTTTCTATTCCTCTAGTGAAAAAAACTTCTTTTTTGATACTGTAATCCTTAACATAAAATCATAATATTTCAATTGACTTGCAGCCTTACTTAGGACAGAAATATCTGTGGTCCTGCATTTTACTTATCTGTTCTCATCCAAATGCTGGTATGGGAAGCAGACTAGAAAACCTGAGGGGTACAATATTGTCTAAAGTCCAGGGGAACAGTAAGAACCATTAAAACCTGACAGGAGGATAGCAGCTGATCTTAGGTGGTGGCTTTTTCTTGGTTCTCAGTAGGTTCCTCTCAGGCCTCTTTCCTCTTGTACATGAAGTTTTTTGTTAAATCCAGCATATGGCATTGAGGAGTTTCTGAGTTCAAACATACTGTGTGGATTTTTTACGGTGCACTGCACCAGGTCTCCTTCCGCAGCTCCTGGCATTAATGTTCTTACAGCACCTTCTACTGAACTCTTTTAAAAGTGGAGATTGTTCTTCCAGTAAAAAAGTCATGCAGGCTTGATACCATAATGTGCTGGAAAAGCTGGATGTCAGTCGGTATCAGTATGACTTTATACTGAGGATAGCAAAACTTTTCCCCTTTGCAAGCTATCTTAATGAATCTGATGTGTGTGGACCAGAGAAGGGGTGAGTCTGCAAAAGGATTTACAGTGCTTGAAAGCCACCCTCTTGAATATATGCTGGAGGCAGGAATTTCTTGAACATTTTGGAGCAATTTCTTTCTCCCTCCCCCTGAAAGTGACCATCCTGCAGTGGTGTCACTTTATGTGCACACAGAGGGGAGCAACCACAACACTATTTTGGAGCAATTTCTTTCTCCCTCCCCCTGAAAGTGACCATCCTGCAGTGTCACTTTATGTGCACTCCGAGGGGAGCAACCACAACACTTTTTTTTCAGAATATTTAAATGCTTTTGACTAATCTACTGGAGTCAGAGTCAAAGAAACCAGAACTAGCACAGAAATGTGTGGAAAGTGGCAGACTAGCTTCTTCAGTGAATTACAGAGTCACACAGAATCACAGAATGGGTAAGATTGGAAGGGACCACAGGGGGCCAGCTGGTCCAACCTCCCTGCTCCATTAGGGTCATCCTAGAGCACAATGCACAGGATTGTGTCCAGATGATTCTTGAATATCTCCAGTGAGGGAGACTCCACAACTTCTCTGAGAAATCTGTTCCAGTGTGTGGTCAGTCACCTGCACAGTAAAGAAGTTCTTCCTCATATTCAGGTGGAATTTCCTGTCCATCAGTTTCTGCACATTGCTGTTTGTCCTGTTGCTCAGCACCACTGAGAGGAGCTTAGTTCAATCCTCCTGGCCTTTCAGAGACTGATAGACATTAATGAGATCCCCTCTCAGTCATCTAAAAGCTGAACAGCTCCCTCAGGCTTTCCCTGTCCTCTCAACATCTTTATTGCCCTCCACTGGACCTGGTCCAGGAGCTCCATGTTATATACACATGCACAGTCATCTCTCAGCTTTATTTCCCCCTCACACATACCCATTTTTCTTACCTGTTTTATTTTCTTCTTCTCTTCCTGACTTCAAATGGTAGAAATGTTGCCTGTTAGTACAGATAAGAGGCAAACATCTTTCCTTGAGCTGCAGGCCTCTAGTTAGACCCAAGTTTTCAATGGGACATGGAAAGAACTTTTTTCTTCGTATGCTGATCACAAGCCCCTTCTGCAGCTCACTGAAAGACTGCTCTGAGTCACTCGAGTAGAAAATTTTTGACCAGCAAAGTTGTCCAATGACTGCCTCACCCACAGATGTGTGTGCTAGGAATATCTGTCCTCATTAGAAGTACGGGGTGCAATGCAGGAACAAAGCAACAGGCTGTTTCATGCAAGCCCTAAGTACAATAACATTCCAGTCAGGTATTGTGTAAATGTTTGATCTGCTGCTCATGTTTTAAGGTGTGACTTGGGCAGGTTCTACTTGACTGGGACATAAAACAGATTTACTGCCAGATATACCCAATGACATAGAGTCATTAACTCAAGCTTTTGGGGAAGTTTTACATTGTGGCTATTTTCCAGACAGTTCTAGAAGTCTTTACATAGAGAGGGTACAGATCTTAGCAGTCTGTAAACTTATATTCTTCCTTTTGATATTCTATATTTATTTGCCCATCTAGATGTCCATTATCTAGAATACTGTGAAACCTCCAGTGTAAGAAAGTGGTCAAAGAAATGATCCATCATCTTTCATCAAAACATCCCTCCAGAATTTCACAGGTACTTCTGAGAGCAGTTTGTGTGTTAAAGGTCATCCACAAAGCTGAGAAATAAACTTTTAATGTCACTGTGGGCTTCCTTCAAAAATTCTAACTTTAGAAGGAAGAGGATATTCTTCAGGATGAAGTAAAAGAGGATGTAATTTTTAGAGCTGGCTGAAAATCTTGAAGGTCACCTGAAATAAAGAATTGCAACAAGTAGAGTCACCAGGCTTGGAACAGGCATGGAAATCCTTGCTTTGCTCCAAAGGCCCATTTCTCTAAATATGTAAGTTACTGCTTTGATAGTGTAGGTCAAAGCTTGATCCTGAATTATGTGTTTATGAAAGACACTCGTATCTATACTTAATGTGTTGTCTTTTAAATCTCATCCTATAGAGTGCTTACATTTTAAATTAATTCTATCCCCATTGAACTTTGATAAGAGGTTGTGAAAGTTGCCAGTTGGAAGTTCTCAACCTGGTGTGTGCAAGTTTAAAGGTTAATATGATGTGTCTTGTATCAACACAAATGATTCAGTCCTTCAAACACTATAAACCAAGAATTTTACAATCGGAGCAATGACGTGAAATGGAGCTCAGAGCAGCACTTTAAGGTCACTACTGCTTAGACATCAGGAATATGGTGACACACAAATGGAAAAAATTACATGAAGTTCAAACAGATTAATGAAACCAGACTAAAGATAAAGCCCATAGAAAACTGATTAAAGTCACAGATTAAAAGTAAAACAAGAACTTCCTTCTCTGTCCTATAAAAGTGAACATATCCAGATGACTACAGAGATGACCCACCTTAGCTGTTTCTGAGAACAAATATCCTTTGTTCATTATTGGAGAGCTTAAGATTGAAATAGCATGATGTTACACCTGCATTAAAGTAGAACTAACCATGAAGAATAGTATAAAAAAACTCGGTTGAAAGAAGAGCATTATGCATTATGGTTACCTGTTTCAAAATTTGTTTGAGTAAAATAATCCTGTTCACTTTCAAATGGAAAAACACAGGGATTCAGCTAGTCAAAGGAAATCAGATCTTAATAGAAACTATAATGCTTTTTTTGTACATAAATATTGTGTTTAAATATGTTTGTTTTAGCCTAAAAGATCACCTGATAACAAATCAAATTTTCTACTAAAACAAGGCTGCTTTTTTTGTACATAAATATTGTGTTTAAATATGTTTTAGCCTAAAAGATCACCTGACAACAAATCAAATTTTCTACTAAAACAAGGACAAATATTCTACAGCAGAGATAAAAATCAAACTCAGGTTTTCAGGTTCTGGTGGATTATCTATAATACCTCTTGTCTCATTTGCAGAATGCCCATGATTTGCAGCACTGTAGAATCCACATCAAGGCAGATGGAAGTACTTACACCACCCTTAGAGTGGGATTTAAGGAGCTGCAGGAGTCACAAGGCTTGCAAAAGCCAAGAATTCTGAAAAGTGAATAAAAGCCATGAAAGGACTGCTTTGTTCCAACAGGAATGAAAATGAGAGATTCACTTCCCTCCTGATCTGTCCCAAGAAAGCAGCAAGGGCACTTCTTGTGCGAGGCCAAATACTGGCCATGTATTCTCCTGTTCCATGTCTGGGTGAGGAGAAGTGCCTTGTTGCTTGGGCTGGGACTGAAGATTTGGACTGCAAGGTAATACCCAGGGTCTGAAAGGCAAAAATAGGAGCAGAAATCAGCAAAATTCTGCAAAGATATAAGAAAGGCTGCCATAAAGAGGCCTAAGTCAGGTATATGAAGTTTCTGTTTCTAATGCAGCAAACTATAAGCAGCTATCTAGTTAAAAGACATGTAAATACTGACTAGGAATTCTGGGAGCTGTCAGTTAGTCTGCCCTGGGCTAAAAGATGTTTCTTACAGTTTTCTGCTCTTGGTTGATGCTTCAGACTGAAAAAGCTATTGGCATGCTTCTTCCCTCATGTGCAGGTATCCATCCATATGTGCATGTCAAGATGTGTGTAACTTATTAATAGTCTTCCTTCCAGGTATCATTACAGATATATCTAGAAGAAATTCTGATTGAAATGAGACTTAATGTTTACAAAAAAACAGGGTTGTGTAAAAATGAGGTCTCCTTCAGGATGAGGGAGTTGTAGCATTGGCCAGCATTGGCCAGTTGTAGCATGTCACCAGCACTGGCTGGTGACTCTCTTGAAATGATGACAACCTCTGGCACTTCAAGGGAGCAGGGCATGCTCATGACTGATGGTCATGTGTTCTACATCCTTGTATCTCCACATAGAGCTGTTACTGAGAAATGCCAGAGGAAACAACTGATAAAACTTTGGTATCAAGGACTCAAATGTGAATGTAGGGATTTTCTTTCTGCTTTTCCAAATAGTCCTAGATATTGCAAGTGACCATATCGAAAGAGTTGCCCAGAACCAGGGCTTTTTGGAAGCTGTTACTTCTCAATTTATCTCTCAGTAAAGCAATGTCTTGCTGCAGCACGTGAGAGCACTTGTGCCCTACATTTATTAATATTGAAAATTCTTTTAATCTGCCATTAAGATTTACTGTGCTCAAAATGATCTGCCAGCAGACACATTTCTAAGTACCTTAAATACGTAAAGGATAGGTATTCACTTGCCAAAGTGCTCCTGATCTTGGTGCTGTGGTTGTGTACTTGGTCTGTATGGCCTCCAGCTTACACTTTGACAGAGGCTTGGAGAAAACTCCAGTTTCACTTCAGTTGTGGGAAGGAGCTGGGGAAAAGTCAGCATGGTAAACTGTTCTAGCAAAGGGCTAGGAGATGTTTTTTAAGACATGCCTTTGATTCAAAGCAAGCCCAGCTAGTGCTTCTCAAATGTTTGTGCTTGCCAAGGAATAGGACTTCTGCTCTTCTGTCAGCATGATGGATTTTATGACCATCACTAAATCCTTTCATTCAGATTTTCATTCAGAACAGTTCCTTCTATATCACGTTTTGTGTACTTGTAATTTCACAAATTAGTTTCTTACCTTCTCAAGTTATTTTCTATCCAAATAATGTTTTCCATTTCTATTATCAAGATCAGCTGACATGCCAGATTGAAAAAACAATCACAACTGGCCAGTGCTGAATATCTGAAGAAAAGTCTTAGAATTAATTTCTAAACTAAAAGGTAAGAAAAAAGTGCTATTTCAGCAGTGCTTCTGGTTTTCTGAGGGGTATTAGACATCCCATGATGTTAAAATACTACTTTTTTTCCCAGTCCTTAGTGCTGCTTTTGAAGATTGCTACAAAAGGCACAGCTCTCTAAAGAGTTTTCCTGCCAAGAATTCAGCACAAATTGACAGGGTCTTAAGCCTTAATAGCTGCTTTAAGGGAGAGAGTTGTATTGGGAATAGAACTGCTTTTGGGCAAAAAAATAAAAATAAAAATCAGAATTTTGAAGAGTAGTTGAAATCTGCACGTAACTACAAGGGTATCTATTTGGTTCTCAGCTCATTTCCTGACATGGGAAAAACACTGCAGGGAGGCCTCTGGAGTACTGTGGATAATCATCCTCTTGCCCTCCCTGTCTGATTTACTGATCATTCCCTTCCTTTCTGACAGATGAATTAAGAGCTTCCTTGTACATCAGTGAGAAGCCTGTTGCTGAATAAAAGTAAGCAGAATGAGAAGTTAATTTACAAACTGTGGAACAACCACATTCCCATTATTAGTGCACTTTTTCTTTTTGCACTAATGGAGTCAGACACAGCAGGATATTTGCTCTAAGATTCTCTCCTTCATCTATTTATTGGATAGCTGTAGTTCCATAACTTTGGAATACGTTCCTGTAGCCTGAACTGAGAATAAAGTTCTCAGTCCTGCATCTCCTGATGAATCTCATCAGTGCAGGGTGCTGCCCACCAATTAGTTCTTACAGTTGTTGAGCTCAAGAGAGATTTATAGCACCAGGGATTCTTTTCCTATTGTGTTTTGTTTGTTTGCTTTTGCATACTGGTGAGATATTCTATATGTTGAAATGACTCATCTAAACATTGTACAAGGAGGTGGTTATCTGTAAAAGAAATGTAATGTTTCTAAATTATTATCAGGCCCAGTACTATATAGGTAACTCATGAAATAGCCAAACTACTGCTCTTTTGAAACATAGCTCAGCAGGAATATGTGGCAGATACTTGATATAGATTGAATCATGCCTTGGACAGGAGCACTCTCTGCTGGGTTATGACCTGGCTGGATGGGTCCAGAGAGTGGTGGTGAATGGTGCTGCATCCAGCTGGTGGCCAATCACCAGTGGTGTAAGTCTCAAGCTGCATCAAGGGAAATATAGGCTGGCTATTAGAGAAAAGTTTTTCACTGAAATAGTGATAAAGTACTGGAATGGTCTGCCCAGGGAGGTGGTGGAGTCACCATCCCTGGATGTGTTTAAAAAAAAAGATTGGATGTGGCACTCAGTGCTGTGGT